TAATGATGGTGAATCGGGTCAACCTGTTGCCATGGAAATAATCCCATGGTGGTTCAACTATGACTTTCCAAAACCCATTCCCAACCTAATAGGTATAATAATCCATCTGGCGTCTCTACCTTGTGAAGAGGATTTCCCTCTTATGTACTTTAACCTTTCTGAGCTCCTGCTGTTGCTATGGTAACAAACTGAAAGTAGCAACTTCCTGTAGCAACAACTGAGTTTCTTCAAGGTAATAATATATGGGTTTTTTTTTTTCCTTGCAAAAGTGCCAGTGCATACTTTAGGGGCGTGCCATGGGAATGCATCTGAAGCCTCTAGTTGTTGCCTTTCATTTTAAGATCCTGATACTTCATTCCATATCATATTGTGTTCTAGATTTAATTACTATAGAAAATCTAAATTTAATTATTATAGACAGTATAATAAACCTGTTAAATATTTATGTCTCTCATTTGGATGGTTTCTGTAAAACTTGAGATGAATGTTTCTCTAGTCAAGTCTGTCTGAAGCAGTAATGTGTTTTCCATCACTTAGTAACTTAGGAGAATGCTGTTTGCTAACATAAATTTTCAAATAGCTCATAGTTTGTTCAAATGTTCTAACTGGTTAGAAAAAATCTTTTACTATTATATGTCACCTATGTAAGTTTTAGGCTTGTTATACTTCTAGCCACACAGAGGTGCTGCTGGAATGGAACTGATTACGGTCACTTTTTTTCTTTCAGCTATTATTAATGGACTACCCAGAATAACTGCACATCAGAGGAAAGCAGTGAACCTGTGTCAGTTTTTGGCACGAATTGCAGAAGGGAAATCACTTGGTAAATGTTTCTTCATTAAATTTCCTTCATTGTAGTTTAGAGACATTAGTCAGATTAATTTATGTGATGTGACTACTTATTTATTTTTGCTCAGGACTCAAGATAATAACTATTTTTATTTTCCTCCCCACTTGTGAACAATTCTTTTTCCTAACCATATTTTTTGCCAAAAGTAATTGGGCATGGTTTGTCTTCGGTTTTTTTGTTCTTATATTTAGGGCTCCCCTCCACCCCCCACCTCTTACTCTGCTATAAGCAGTCCTGTCTGGGCAAGAGGATGAACAGGATTTTTTTAAAAAGATTGTTCTACACATCTTCTTTTAGTGCAATAAATAAATAAAAAGATGTAGTCTAGGGTTCGTTTAATAATCAAAAGGGGAAGCTCTGATTTTCTTTTTCTTCCATGATAAAAAACCCAAAATCAAATGCCAAAGTTTATAGGTATTTGGAATTTATTTTATTATAGTCATTGAGGCACTGGTAGGCTTCTGAATTGCTTTAAAACTGTAAATATATCAATAAAGTATTGTGTTCAACTGAGATTCTCTCTCTCTCTCTCTGTTGGACACTATGTTTTATATATATGTCTAGGTAGCCTGTTCCAGTGCTTTACTACACCCATAGCCAGAAAGTTCTTCTCAGATCTCCAACCTAAATTTCCTTTGCTGCAGTTTGAGGCCATTGGGGGCTGCCTGTCCTGTCCCCTATAGCCACAGAGAATAGTCCATCCATGTGCCCAAAAGCTTCCAAATAAAGACTTTTTTTTTTGTTGCAACTGTTTAGTTGGTCTAATAAAAAAATATTGCCTCTAGCACACTGACTACTTGTACTTTTAGACAGGGTGTTTTTAAGGATAAAAGTGGTAGCCATGTTGGTCTAAAAGTACTGGAACAGGCTACCTAAAGAAGTTTCAGACTCTTGGTCCCTGGAAACTTTCAAGAACAGGGTGGACAAACACTTGGCTGGTATAGTTTAGTTAGGAGTGGTTCTGCCTTGGATAGGAGGACTGGACTAGAAGATGAATTCCTGAGGTCCTTTCCAGTCCTTTCTTCCCATGATTCTATTTTTAAGTGTTCAAAAATAATATTATTTTATATTATGCTATGAATTTTGCCATTTCACAAGTGACTCTAAAATGTTTGAGTTTGCTCTTCCTCCTCAGGTTATCATTTTGAAAGTGATCAAAGAATTTCCCCATTGGAATCTGCTTTGTCAATTTGGACACTACTTGAAAAGGAGGAAAGTAAATTAGAAAAACTGCATGAAGATATTCGGCGCTTAATTCTGATTCAGGTGTGTGATCAGCATGTTCAAAATATTTATACAGATCAAAAGAAGAGCTCAAAGAAAATTAAAGGTTTTAATTTAACATTGGCACTTTTTTCATAGGATCATAGAATCAATGAGTTGGAAGGGACCTAGACAGA